TGGGGCAATAGCACTCTGAGACATCAACAAGCACAGAGAGCTTCTTCTCCCATTCCCTAAATGGTAACTGCTTCCACCAGCAGAAAATCTTATGGAAAAGAACAAGCTGAGAAGCTCTAAGAGCAGCCAGCAAAAGAGACAAATAGTTTCAGATCAGCTGCTGATAACATGCCCAAACCTTTCAACACCAGTGAAAAAAACCCAGTAAAACACCCCTGGGCAGAGCTCATCTGCAGGCACAGCCCATCCTGCCTTGCCAGGGGCTTACCCAGAGTGTTAGGGGACTGCCACAGGTCCTCTCAGCAAGGGAGAGTGCGACTGCACACAACACAGACCTAAAACTCTCCAAGGTGCAGTGAGAATCAGCCAGGCTGCACACGAAGAATTTCCAATTCAGCAAACAAACTAAAAAGCCCCAAACCTCCTGAGCTGTCACCAAAAAAAGACATTCTCTATAATCACCCTCCTCAGGTGACCATCAACTGCCCAAACCTTTGACAACATTCATGGGATGGCTAAAAGGACAACTGTGGGCAAGCATGTGGATCCGTTCATTGACCTGCTCACATGGCTGGCCTGGAAGTGATCCCTGGATTTCCCAGCCAGGGTTGACAAGAACGTCTGCTCTGTGATCACAGCTGGACATAGACGCCTTCCAGCTCCTCCTGCCAGCCTTTGGGAACATCAGTCCCACAGATCCCAGCTCAAAGTTTAACTCTTTGAAGTGAATAATTCACAATATTCTACAGACTGCAGAGCCCATGTTACCCTAAATTCCTCTATAATCATAAACCAGTAAAAAGATCTTTTGCTTTTTTAAAAACCATGACAACTTCTGAAGCTCAATTTGCTGCGATGACAGAACGTAGAGGTACTATAAAGATGCTACCAGGTAGAGTTGCCTTCATTATCCATGAGCTTTGAGAAAAACAAAATGCTGGATAAAAACATTTGCTTGCTAGAAAAAGCCCTTTTGATCATCTTCAGCACATTTTGCACATTCTGATATCCAAGGGGACTCAGGCTCCAAATGGCAGGTGAGGTACATGGGGACTGCTAAGACAACATCCCCGTTTCCTGGGTTATCTAAAGCCACGGGGCCATACATACACATCAGCCGTAACCGGGATCAGCATCACTACAGGAAGGCAAAGAGGAATTCTTTTATTTCCCACAGAAGCAAAAATGCCTCTTGCTGCCATCCTGACATGAGCTCTCCACTGTCCTCCGCACATCACCAGGAAGGGGATGAAGTCCTTCTCAAGTGGAGGTGGTCTCACACCCCTGGGCATCCAGCCCTGGAGTGTCGACCCTGGAATGCCAGCCCTGCCCCCAACTCTGCCTGTGCCTGCTTCCTGTCAAGTCCTCTGCATTTGTCACCTCTCTTAAAACACTCCCCTCCTGAAATCTCCACTTCTATTGTCAGTGAGATGGATATGCTGGAACACAGAGTGATCCCACTCCTTACGGGAGGTCTTGGAAAGGGTCATGGGAGAAACCTAGCTCTGAATATACAGCTTGTTCCCTGCGTTTCTAGCAGTCCACAGTGGAGCAATTTATTCTTTTAATAAAATTATGGGTTTTTAAGTTGCTCCCTCCTTCCTCATGTGTTCTCATGAAATCTTAAGGGGTTGCCTGGGAAGAACACAGGATGGAATACTACTGCTGAAAATGGGCGGCTTCCCAACATTATTCTGCCGTGCAAAACAACCGCATTACTGACATGATTTCTTATAACTTAAATAAACACAAAGAATGTTGGGACTGCAAGGATCAATCACGAATTGAAACCAAACAAAAGGGACCTAGATTTAACTATTGAGGCTACAGAAATAACTCATCACAGACAGAACTCCTCACCTAACAAGGGCTTTTCTGTAAAATTCCCTTGCTGAGGGTGTTTCTGTACCAAAGCAGGTGTCCACTGGCATTCTTGGCAAACCTTCTCTTCTGTCAGTCCTCCATGAAAGGCCACGTGGGTAATGTGTCTCTGCCAGAATTGGGAACTGCTGGTCAGGGAGGTCATGGGAGAATCCCAGCATCCCAGTGCCACCTGGGCACAGCAAAGCAGGACCCAGCCCCACAATGGTCCTGGCAATGGGGCTGGAGAGGGCACCCACCCCAGGAGCGCTGTGAGGGTGAGGAGGGTCTGGATGAGCAAGAGCAGCAGACAGGAGCGATGTTCAAAGAGCACCAGGCAGGGAGAGATGATGCATTGGGCAGAGAGGGATGCTCCAAGAGCACCAGGACAGGGGGTGATACTCACAGTGCTGCTTCTGCAGCATTAAATAAATGCTGTGTGTGTTTGATGCTAAATTGACTAATTACACTGTTACATGAATTAACTATTTCAAAATGAAGGAGCCAAAGTTATTTATTTTACTCAGTGTTAAGACACAAAGGCTTTTACTGGAAAACCTCAGCAGTTCCAGGAGCTTTTACTGCTCCTCTTCAGCAAAGAAAATGAAAACTTCATGTGAGAACTGGGCCTGGCACCTGGCCCACCTACCCCATACTCACTGAAACTACATGCTTCCCTCTCTGATATATCAGCTCAAAATGAGACTTGTGAGTAAAGTTTCTCCTCAGTTCAACGTGGGTAGCCCCATTTATTCACACTCCTGGGAAGCTCAGAACATGGGGTGATGTGTAATCCAGCTGTCCAAGGTCCACAGCCCCACGCAGGGTGTGCGCCCGAGCAAGGGCACCCGCAACGTCCCTTGCTGGGGGCTGGCTCCACCTCAACACGCATCCCATAAATCACCCTCATCTTCTGACAGCCATGAAAATGCTGACTCAAAGCCATGGGAGTGCCGCCCATACTCCAGCTTTAATTATGAAAGCAGGATGCTCTCGGCATGGTGCTGCCTCGGTACCAAGGGGAGGAGGCAACGTTTGAAGCCCTCTTAAGACTGCTTAAGCAGAGAACGTGGTGCTGAGGGGGGAATCAACACGTGCTGGCCACAGGGAGCCCATGGCCATCTTGCTACAAGAGGCTGGGAACTCCGGAGTGTGGCCAATTTTGGATGCTGTGAGGCACAGTCACTGGGGAAGGCTGAATTCAGATGGCTACAGAGCTGGCAGGAACAAACTCCTTTTCCAGCACCCAAATGGCTTTATCCAGCTTGCTGGAATTTGTATTTAAGTAAAGAGCCAGCTTTCAATACTTAGGATATCAATAGCAATTATTTTACTGTGTATTGAAATACGTTTACAATACACATATCCAGTGAGGAACACTCCCAGAGGAGCTGAGACACTGGGCAGTGGGAGACTCGGGATAACGGGCTCTGCCTGGCTGCTGCACATTCTCCTCAAAGTGTTTGCTCCCACAGTGATCCTGCATCCAATCCCCTTCCAAGTTACAACACTAGCCTAAAACAAAATAAGCCCTGGTTTAAAGCAAGCCTGCTGAAGGCACAGGAAATGAGAGAAGTTAATCACAGGGCATAAAGAATGAAATCCAGATGTAACACTCAAAACTCCAGCACCTCATCCCTGTGTGCCAGAGCTCAGCAGCGAGGTGAATGTTTCCTGTAGCAGCATCTCTGCACAAAACACACACTCACCCTCCCTAGTGAGACCAAAGTGATGTTTGCAGCCTAAAGCTCCCATTTCATTTATGTAACCTATCCAGCTGCACCGACGCCGAGTTCCAAATACAACCTTAGGCCTGGAAAGCTGGTCGTGTTTCAGCAGAACCCCACCGGTAGGTAACATTGGGAGCAATCACACCTGTTTTTAATGCTGTAGTTTTAAACACATTTATGTCCTACTAGCATTTAGTACTGGCTGAGTATCTGTCTTAACTGCTTGTTACCTTCTCTGCAACCTATGAGCCTGAAGCAGTATAAATAAACCACTTTTTAAAATTATTATTTCCTTTGATCCTCCAATTGTGCTGACAGAAAGCACAAGGACTTGAGCACGTCTCAAAATACAGAGTATAATTGAGGTACACATAAAAACCACTTGTCAGCTGCCCTACATAGACATCTACTGTATTTTCAGGAGCTACTACACCAGGAGCAGTCTGAAAATGCTTCCAAATCTCTACTGAAAATGCTTCATGCAGCATTTTACAGCAGACTGTAGGATCATTGAAAATGCTTATGGATAAAACATGTTGTAACCTGGAGATTTCCAGTCCAGCAAAAATAATACAGCCAGACTTCATAGCTGAGAAGTGCTGCTAATTAAATCAGAGATTTATCACCAGGGAAGAGATTCAACCCACTGCAACCATACTCCAGAGAAGGAGAAAATGTGGGGGTTTGGAACTACAGAAAGATCACGGCAAAAGTATAAAGCATGAATAAAAAGTTAGAGTCTGAAGGGCTGGGAGAATAATCAAGTCAAGCAGAGGATTAATGAACACAAACCAAAATGACAGACTCGAGTAGATTAACTATGGTGTCCGACTGCTGGTAAACAAATTTTGGTCCAGTCAAGTAACGAGGAGATACAGGAGCACAAGGTCCATTAGGAGAAGCAGGAACATAACCTCCTCATGGCATAAAGCATGGCATTTCTCGTTGAGAAATACAGAAATATATCTTAAAATAAATAATAATACCAACGTTAATGCTTCTGGCAGGGTATAATCGTCCTCTCCCTGCCACAGTCCAGAGCTGCTCACTCTGCAGAGTCCCCCAACTGCCGCCAGAAGCCAAAACTGCATCATTTCACCCCAACAACCCGTTTCCAAACTTCTAGCAACAGACTGGGCTTCCTACATAGAGTTAAAAAAGGAGAAACGGCGGAACGAAACCACCCCAGGACTGAGCGAGCAGCCCGGAGCTGTGGGGGTGCGGGTACCCGGTGGTGGCAGGGATAACTTCCCGCAACACCGGGGCACCACACCAGCATCCCTGGGGGAAATCCTCGCCGCCGCATCGTCCCCGAGAGGGGCTCCCGCCGGAGCCTTGGGCATCTCGGGGACGCGGCGGTGGTGGGGATGCTCCGTCCCCGCATCCCTCCCGCCCGCGATCGCGTCCTACCTAAGCACCGCCGTGTCCCCTTTCCTGACCACCAGATTGTCCACGGCAGCCCCGGGGAAGTCTCCGCCCGGCGCAGCAAGTCTCCCGGAAGCAAGGAACCAGCAAAGGCCGAGGAAAGCGATCGTCAGCCACTGGTGGGAGCCCCCGGCGCTCCGCACCAGCGGCACCATCTCCGCGCCGCGCTGGTCCCGGCAGCAGAGACCGAGCGCTGCTGCTCCCGGCGAGCTCGGCCCCTGATCGGCACGGGCGGTGGGGGACCGGGAGCGGAGCGCGGCTGCTCCCGGGCGGCCGCCGCAGCATCCAGCGAGGAGGGCAGCGCGCCCGCTCTGCGCGGCGGCTCCGCGGCGGCGGCGGGCGGTCCCCGCTGCCAGCCCGTTGCCACGCAGCCGTCGCCTTGGCAACCGGCCCGGCGGCGGAGGGATGCTCGGCCCCCTTATCCCGGGCTTCCCGCTCCGCCCTCCTCGGCATCCCGGCTCGTGGGCCCCCCCGCTCTCCCGCCTCTTCCCACGGGCACCACGGACCCCCCACCCCCGCTTTCCCAGCCTACTGCTGTGCCACATCCCACCCGGCCCGCTCCTTCGGCCCTCTCCACACAGAATATTTCAGAAAAATTGGCCACTTTGCCAAAAGGCAGCGAGTCACAGTCTGTGCTGAGGCGGCAGTGCTGGAAACGGCACCCGCGGCTCCGCCGTGAGAGTCCCCCGGGACCTGCTGGAATTTCCAAACAAACAATCCAGACCTTTCTGGAAAAAGGGTCGGCCACTCTGATACTTCCTAAATTTCCTAAAAGTCTATCTAGAAAAATTATTCCATATAGAGATCTTCTCCAGAGAGCACAAAACCACTGACAAACTATTTCCCAGAATTCTACCTACCAGGATATCTAGAGATCTTCAGCCAAAAGCAAAAATCCACTCAGATTATATCCTAAAATTCTACCAGGACATTTAAAGATCATCTCCAAGGGACAAAATCCACTGACAGATTATTTCCCAAAATTCTACCAGGAAAGCTGTAAACCTTCAACAAGGAGAAAAAAAAAAAAAATCACCATCAGATGATTTCCTAAAATTCTACCAGGACACAGATTTAGAGATCTTCACTGAGGAGCTAAAAACCACTGACTTATTATTTCTCAAAATTATACCAGGGCATCTGGAAACTCTCACTAACAAGCAAAAATCCACTGACAGATTATTTCCCAGAATTCTGTCAGGATATCTAGAGGCCTTCACCAAGGATTTCCTAGAATTTTACTGCAGACCTTTAACAAGGAGCAAAAAATCCCCTGCAGAGCGATTCCCTGTAGATACCCAGGAATGAGGAATTTCTTTCCTTCTGTGGTCTTCTCCAGCACACACACATACATACGTCATTCCCAGCCTCTGGCAAACACACTGAGCAGGGAGTTGTGGTTGCTGCATTTGTTTACCAAACACCCACTTTCCGGGTTTATTCAGCACCAGAGCCCAGGCTGCACCTCGCTGGAATCACCCTAAATCCCTACAGGAATGACTCCCCTCTGTTGATCGAGAGAAGTTGCGTAAGCACCACACTGCTCTGGCACAGGAATTGCATGAGTGCTCCGTTCGGGCAGTTCTGAGCATTCCCACACTAATTCATGCACATCTGGCCCACACAATATCAGGACTGTTCCTCACACCAGCTCTGCCACCCCACGTGCGCCATTTCCCCACGGTTCTCTCCCTTTCATCCGCTGCCAGGGTACGGATTTTTATGATGCACCATTTTCCCCTGCCCACAATTTGCATCAGAAGGATTTGGGAGTAGAATGCTCCAAGTAAAAAAAATCTTTAATAGTCACAATGCTTCCACTGCGTGCTCTGTCGGTAAAGCCGGATCCCCATTCCTTTAAGCTCTACCCTTCGTTACTGCATTCCATTAGATCTTCCCAGCTGCCAGAAGAAATTCTAGTGTACACAAAAGGGAATTCTTCCTCTTCTTCTGCGGCACACGATACTACAGAGTTTCCTTGAAAAGGAAAGAGAGAGGGGAAGAGAGGGATTGGCTCTCACATGGTGGCTGGGGAGGCCTCGCCAGCGTTATTATCGCTGGAACACAGTGATGCCTTTTTCATGTTAAACACAACTGCACAGTGACACAATCCCTGTGTCACGCACAGGAAGCTGCTGCAGCCCTTAGTGCCCAGCCAGCGACCATGGCAGCAGGAGCCTCCTGCATGCACAGCTGGAACATACAGTATCCAAAACACTGTTAGGAATGCTTCTGAGGCAGGACCGTGCCCTTGGGAATGGGCTGGGCACAGGCACAACAACTAACAGGGAGTTGTTAGAGGCAGGAGGAGCTGTCCCACACGCATGCTGCCACCTCCCCATGTTCACAGATGTGCAATAACCTCCCACAGGGCCTTTCCAGCTCCTTGAGTCAGCAACCAAAGCACATCCCATGCCAAACACCTGGAAATGTAAATGTCCAGTCCCCAAAGGGGTCCTAAAGAAGACTGGAGAGGGTCTCTTGTCTTGGCATCAAGAGGAAGGCAACACAGAACCACACGCAAGTCGGTTTTCAGATGCAAAAAACTTCACAGGGCTGTCGTAGGTCAGAGGCCCTTTGTATGTTCTGGTACATTCAGTGCTCAGATCGTCCACAGGGAGATGAGATATAATAGTCGAGATCTAATTTTAGGGAGAGCTCTGTAACCTTTAATGAGTTGCATGATGTTGCTTTTACTTGACCTTAACAAACAATCAAATAATTTGCTCCTCTTTGAACAAGAAGAACAAAAGATATATCCCCAGCACCATTCTATTAATTTTGCAAAAGATCATATAAATCTCAATCAAGAAGACCAAAGATGAAGCTTTTTATTTTGTTTTGTTCATTTTTAGATTCATATCCCTACCTTTCATGCTATTTGAAGATCAATGGAAAAACAAGCAGGTCAAAAGTCAATAGCAGTTATGGCAGGCAAGGTTGCTCCAGAGACTGAATCCTTTCATCTGGATCTCCCCCACCTGCCAAGTCCAGTAAGCTCTCAGGGAGACAATGAGTTGAGCACCCCCAGCTCCCCTCAGTCACTCAAGCTGCTCCAGACCCTTCCCCAGCTCTCTTCCCTTCCCTAGACATGCTCCAGCCCCCTCAATATCTTTCTTGTGAGGGGCCCAAAACTGGACACAGGACTTGAGGTGTGGCCTCACCAGTGCCCAGTACAGGGGGCAGTCACTGCCTTGGTC